AAACGTCCTCAACTTTTTGGCTCAGCTCTGGTACTCTCTTCAGACCCAAGCTAATCGATGCACCCCTCGAAATATAGGAAAATCCACGAAACCGTAATTTTATCTGTCAAACTTTCATAGCGAATGAAAACAATCATAGTGTAGTAGTAGAATTTCAACTGGAATGGGGTACATTAATCGATTTGCTTGGGACCAACAGACTAGTCAAGTAGTGAGCCAATTTTAAATCGTTAGTTTCCAACCGGTGCACACTGGGCCAGAAATGCAATCTAGCTGAGCAAAATTAATAACTCTGAGACGAAGCATTTCCGTGACTTGGTGTCTTCGGTAAAGTTTCTCATCATAATAAGGACCATCTATTTACATAAACAAATAGTTGAAGTTTTGGATGTCTTGGGCAAAGTTGTTTGCCTTGACAAAATAAACAACTCTTTTCAAGACGTAAAATTTCCACAGCCTACTGGTTCCAAATTTGCTTGGGACCAACAGACTAGTCAAGTAGTGAGCCAATTTTAAATCGTTAGTTTCCAACCGGTGCACACTGGGCCAGAAATGCAATCTAGCTGAGCAAAATTAATAACTCTGAGACGAAGCATTTCCGTGACTTGGTGTCTTCGGTAAAGTTTCTCATCATAATAAGGACCATCTATTTACATAAACAAATAGTTGAAGTTTTGGATGTCTTGGGCAAAGTTGTTTGCCTTGACAAAATAAACAACTCTTTTCAAGACGTAAAATTGAAATGCGTAAAGACGTAAAATTCAAATGCGAAAAAAATTTGGTTTTCTTTCTGTTTCGGTTTTTTTTTGCTGACAACCATATAATTTTATATTTTTATCTTACTGCATTGCATTGCATTTAATGCATTAAATAAATAACTTTTTTGAAGAAACATACTGGTTTAAGCTTGAAATTTTAAAGATATTGTTGAAAAACCAAAAAAAAAAACAACAATTTTTGAATTTTAATATCTCCCACAATGCAAAAAATCGCAACCTGACATTTTCAGTAAAAATTTAGCAATTCTCGATAGAAAAAATATCAAAATTTGGGAGAAGTTTATTTTGGTGTTTTTGAGATTTCATCATTTTAGTGTAGCATGTATTATTTCTATAACTTTTTTAATGCATTGAAATGGCGTTTTGAAGACTTAACTTCTTGAGCAAAGTTGTTTATCTTGATAAAATAAACAACTCTTCTCAAGAAGTCAAAACTGCACAGCCTACTGTTTTTGAGTAGTATGCATTTAAACAATATATTTAAAATTAAAACACTTATTTTCACATTTTTTCTGTAATTTCATATCACTCGAAAACAGTAGGTCCCATTGGGACCCGTGTTCAGTTTCCCCATCGGGATCCGTATTCGGTTTCCCCATCGGGATCCGTTTACGGAATCCCATTGGGACCCGTATTCGGTTTCCCCATCGGGATGCGTATTCGGTTTCGCCATTGGGATCCGTATTCGGTTTCCCCATTGGGATCCGTTCTCGAAATCCCCATCGGGATCATTTTACGGAATCTCCATCGGGATCCGTATTCGGTTTCCACATCAAAATCCGTCTACGGAATCCCCTTCGGGACCCGTATTCGGTTTCCTCATCGAGATCCGTCTATGGAACCCGTAATCGGGATCCGTCTTCGAAACCCTTCATCGGGATGCGTCTACGGAACCCGTCATCGAGATCCCTCTATGAAATTCGTCACCGGATTTCGCGAGTTTCCATCGAGGTCCACTTCCACTTTATTTTAACTTTTAGTAAACACATTCACTAACCTGCAAAGAGATCCGGCTTGAAACTCCCTGTCAGGATCCAGCTTCGGACGAGGCTTCGAACTCCCTGCCGGGATCCAGCTTCAGACTGGTGCACTTTCCTAAAAAACACAATTACATTACATTACATTATTTCACATTTACTTACATAAAAACAACCTTCCTTTTCCTGGAAGCGACTGTTATTGGCGATGACGGCACCGCCGAAAAATCTTCTCTTCTAGCAAAGCTTGAAGGTTTCTTATGGGAATTTGCAGTGGAGTAAAAAGATAGTACCATAGAGGTAACTCTAAGACAAGAAGGTCCCGAAATAACGTGCTCTACTTTTTGGCTCAGCTCTGGTACTCTCTTCGGTCCCAAGCTAATCGATTCACCCCTCGAAACATAGGAAAAAACCCCTCATTTTATCTGTCAAACTTTCATACACGGTAACCGCAAAATACCCAATAATGACTACAAAGTAAGCATTTTCTAGGGAAACTGCGACTACCCATTAAATGAGTAAAATTTTACCCATTTATGAGTAATTAAAACTACAAAAACAAGTAGTAAGTATTCATTTTTGAGTAACAAATATTCATAAATGGGTAATATTTTTACTCATTTAATGGGTAGTCCCAGTCTCCCTCGAAAATGCTTACTTTGTAGTCATTATTGGGTATTTTGCGGTTACAGTGTAGCGAATCAAAACAAACATTGTGTAGTAGTAGAATTTCAACTAGAATGGGGTACGTTAATCGTTTGCTTGGGACCAATAGGCTAGTCAAGTAGTGAGCCAATTTAAAATCGTTAGTGTCGTATTGATTGTTGATAGTACGAAGTCCACCTGTTTCACGCACAGTCTGACGTTTGCTTATGGATTTTATCATAGGAGTAAAGAGCTACAGAGTCGCCGTCAACGCCAAATATTTTCCCTTCTCCAACCATTTCACAACAAAAACAAAACACTTGGGTGCGCTTTTTTTGCTCTACTGTCAAACAAAATAGCAACCCATCTCGGGTTGCAACTTGGTCTTCAAATTTGAAGACCCGCTACTACCCGGGAGTGCGTTCACGGTAAAGTTTTCATTTGGCACACCCATTAAGCAACCTGCGGTGGGAGTCGTTACAACCAGCAAAACTTTGCTGGATTTTGCCGAGCTGGAAATCCAACAATCCTTCCAGCAAAAAAATATTGCTAGATAACCAGCAAAATAATCTGACATATAAATGACAGAACTTTACTGTAGAACCAGCCAAATTTGCTGGTTGTTCAGTAATACAAAATAGGAATTTATTTTGCTGTATGATCAGCAAAATTAGTGAAGTATTATTTTGAGAAAAAATCAAAGATTTTCTTTAATTCAAACTTAATTTATTTCATGCTTTAGCATCATAACCATAGAGTTAACTCTAAGACCACTGGGTCCCGAAGAAAATCATTATTATTTTTGGCTCACTCAGTACCAGAACAACGGTCCCAAGCAGTCCCAAGCTATTTCACTCACCCCTGCATGTTCTGCATGAATCCACACACCCCTGATGTTATCTGTCAAACTTTCATAGCGAATCAAAACAAACATAGTGTAGTAATAGAATTTCAACTAGAATAGGGTACGTTAATCGTTTGCTTGGGACCAATAGGCTACTAAAGTGGTGAGCCAATTTAAAATCGTTAGTTTCGTATTGATTGTTGTCATAACTGTATTTCAAATTATGTAGCGATAAATTTAGTGAAAATGAAGAAATACTATCAAAAACGATCAAAAACGCCACTTCCTCCTGCAAATAAATAAAAAAGACGTCACATTACAGATGCACTGTTATAACGGATATTTGTATGCACATGTACCTTTAATTATGATATTAAATCACATTCAATAGCAAAACACATTGAAAACTAGTATAAAACAATCAAAATAAATCAACTTGCGATCAGGCATACGACAAAGAATCCACTTACGAAATTGCAATCTATTTGACAGTTCCCGTATTTTACTGATCATCCAGCAAACAAACATGTTTGCTGGATTCACAGTAAATCTTAATTTTGATAGACTCTGTTCAGCAATTGGAAGGCTGATTCAAAATTTGGTGTGTTGGTTGCTAAAATGGGTATTAAACCCCGTTTAGTGCCCCCCGCGGTGGAGATGCTCTTAAGGGGAATTTCACTGCTCCGAAAAAATAATTACATATTGATTTTTCTAAAAATATTGGAAAACAGATATCAAAAATCTTAATTAATAATTTATTTATTCTCATTTTCAAGAATCTCTGAAAAAAAACTGATTTTTTCTTGATTTCAATATTTTTAGAAAAAAATAAAAACACGCCGGATAAAAAAATATTTTCGGGTGGTAAACTTCCCCTTAATGTTCATTTTCCTTGCATAAAAACAATCTAGTACCTCTTTTTTGCTGGGAAAACTCACGAACGTGCTCGTATTTTCGGAACGCAGCCACGGTTATGACGTTTTCGCATACACTGTACACAAACATCATCCTCTGATCGAATGAAACCTCAGACCATTCAAAACAAATCACCGAAATCGCTCTTTCGAATGATACCTGCAACGGATGATGGTTGTTTTGAAATCAGATGATTTTCCTCTAGAATACAGGATGAAAATTGTTATGATAAGGGATAGGGCCTTCAGTTGAAATGCGTAATGCTCTCTGCAGAATGACTGTCATACTAAATGGAAATGCATGTGGTATTGGTTCAGCCCCATAACGCAAATCATTCAAAACGATGATGTTAATAATTCTATCGAATGTCATTTGCTGATCTGAGCTGACAAACGAGGTGGAAGCATATGCATCGCTATCAGAGATGTTTCGAACATAGGTAAAGGATGAAAACCAATGTTTGGCTAATTCGTGGTGGAGGTTTCCTTCACCACGAAAAAATTTTGTATCCATAATGAAATGGCTTATTATGGCTATTCAGTATAGAAATGTAGATAATCAAATTATAAATCTAATTAAAAGCACTTGCATGTCACACTATTCTTAAATGTTTGTCCTCTGAGTGCCGTATGTTTTATAGCTAATTTTCAAACGAAAATCATCCTGTATTTGGATGACAGTCATATGGATGTTCATCATCTGACGACGAATTCAACCATAAGAAAATCATCCGAAATTCAAATGCATATTGTTAAAGGGCTCGAGCAATGCACTAATCATTCGAAGTATTGCGGATGTTTTGGTTCAGTGTACGTCGATATGTTGATGTCAAAAGGAAATTTTTCTCCAGCAAAAGAAGATCCACTGAAATATTCTTGAGACGACGTCGGGAAAATCCATGGAAAATGTCCTAAATTGTGCATTCCGTAAAGTTTTCCGAACGTGAACTTGTTTGCTGACGTGCACCGCACTCGGAATCAGTGAATTTGTTGTGTATTTTTTCGCTGAAATATCGAAACAAATAGTTTTATAGAATATACCGTTCCCACGAAGAAGAAGCTTCTCGGTGCAAGTGCAGGAGGTGGAGGAGGAAGAACCATTTCACCGTAGAGGCCGAAGTGGGAGTGCGGGTGAAAGTCCTCCTGCTGCAGCAGAGCAGAACTTGCCGGGCTGAGGAAGAGCCGAAGGAAAGAATCGTGGCTGCTAGCAGAAGTGGACTTCCCTAGTAGGGGTTGTGATTTTGTTTGCATAAATTTACGACTCAGCTTTTTTTCTTGTTCGTTCCCAATCGAAAGAAGGGTGGAGATACCAACAAAGAGAAAAAATGAAATCGTCGAGCCGTTCGTCGCTTGCCGGCATCCTGGTGGCTGTTGTGACCATCTGTGGGATTGCAGATGGTTTCTACCTTCCGGGATTAGCGCCCGTTAATTACTGCCGGCAGTCGGAGATGCAGAAATCGTGCATGGTAAGTTTGCGAATGCCTTGATTTATCATGTAAGTTAGGTGACAACTCATCAAGTCGGAAATAATGTGGCTTAATGTTCGTAGTGGGCAATATAGGTATTAGTGTGAGACACTCGCTCAGTTTTGATAGCTCTATCAAAGCATAAATTTAGTTGATAAGAGAGTAATAGTGGCTCTGGGTAGCATTTTTTTTTTGCCTAGCACCTAACGTGATAGGATGAAAGGAATATTCTACATGTCTCGATTTTGATAATTCGACTTGGGACATGTCGGTAGCCATTAGATAAGAAAGTAATGTCCAAATTATGTTTTCACATTTGACACGTTCTTAGACCTTGATTTGGGAACCGAAATGTAATGTAAGTTGTTCACAATGTTGTTTTTCTCCGTCCTTATCAATTCCAGTCCGATGTGATCCTGTATGTAAATCGACTCAACACCGAGGAATCGGTTATCCCTTACGAGTACCACCACTTCGACTTCTGTCCGATCGATGAAGCTAACTCGCCGGTGGAAAATCTAGGCCAGGTGGTATTCGGCGAACGTATCCGTCCTGGACCATACAAAATCGAGTTCCTGAAACAGTTGACCTGTGAAAAGGCCTGCACCAGATACTATGTAGGAGGTGATCCAGAAAGTGATCGCCGACTGATGATTCTGAAGAAGGGAATGAGTTTGAACTACCAGCACCATTGGATCGTGGACAATATGCCGGTTACGTGGTGCTACCCGTTGGATAACGATCGTCAGTACTGCAGCACTGGATTCCCGATGGGATGCCTTGTCCGGAGACATCCGGATGGAGATGAGGGCTGCATGGTGAACCCGAGCTATAACCGAGCAGGCTACTATTATCCCTTCAATCACGTTGATCTGACAATCACGTTCCACAGCGGAGCTACCGAGGAATGGGGTGTTGCGTTCAAGCAAAACGGTGGCCGAATCATCTCCGTTAAAGTTGTCCCATCGTCCATCAATCATAAGAATCCCGATCAACCGGATTGTTCTAGCAAGGAACCGATCGAAATTCCATCGTCTGCCCTTCCGAATGGACAAAAGATGAACATCACATACACCTACTCGGTTCATTTCGTGCAGAACAACACCATCAAATGGTCCTCTCGATGGGATTACATCTTGGAATCGATGCCGCACACCAACATCCAATGGTTCAGCATCTTAAACTCGCTGGTGATTGTGCTGTTCCTGTCCGGCATGGTGGCCATGATCATGCTACGAACACTGCACAAGGACATCGCCCGCTACAACCAGATGGACTCGGGTGAGGATGCTCAGGAAGAGTTCGGCTGGAAGCTGGTTCATGGTGACGTATTCCGACCACCACGCAAGGGCATGCTCCTATCAGTGCTGCTCGGTTCCGGTGTTCAGGTTTTCTGCATGTCGCTGGTAACGTTGGCGTTCGCTTGCCTGGGATTCCTGTCGCCTGCCAATCGTGGAGCTTTGATGACCTGCGCCATGGTGCTGTTTGTGCTGCTTGGAACCCCCGCCGGATACGTTTCGGCTCGTATCTACAAGAGCTTCGGTGGAATCAAGTGGAAGAGCAACGTACTGCTGACGTCCATGTTGAGTCCTGGGTAAGTTCGTATGGGGCTAACAGTCCCCGAATGATAAGCTGGGAATCTAAGTCTGTAATGTGTTTGTTTGTTGCAGAATCGTCTTCGGGCTCTTCTTCGTAATGAACCTGATCTTATGGAGCAAGGGAAGCTCCGGAGCCGTTCCGTTTTCGACGTTGATCGCCCTGCTGGCTTTGTGGTTTGGTGTTTCGGTGCCGCTTACCTTCGTTGGTGCCTACTTTGGATTCCGGAAAAGGGTAAGTTTGGTAATTATTTGTATGCTTACGATTATATATGAGATTTTTTTGCCTCACAATTTCTACACTGAGGCAAAGGAACGTTCCATAATAATCGCATATGAAATTTCGTCAAAAGGATTTCTTATGGAAAACAGCAAGTGCTACATTTTATATAACTTTTTCATAAGGTAACTTATGAAACTCTGCTTCATACGCCAAACTTTTGATTTCCATAAAAAATCATTTTTTCGAAATTTCAGTAGTGGTTCTTATGGAATTCTAACGTTCCTTTGCCTCAGTGTACGGTAATCATTCATAAGTCGTGTTTATGAAATGCATTACTCATGCCTATGGAATTTACCCGTATCTTCTGTAATCAAAATTATCAAGGTTCATAAGTCATGTCTTATGGAATTCTTAAGCTTGTTTTGCCTCACTGTAGGGATTGAGCTGTTCTAAAGCATTTCTGTAGTCAATGAATAACAAATACAGGGACTCTTGGAATTCATTGGGAATCTTCAACTCAAGATTCTGCATTCAAATAAATTTACACGTCTGGTCGAAGTTTTTGAACACTTGATTTTTCAAATGTTTCGGGAGTTATAACATGTTACATGCCTATCTTGATGACGTTTTCCTTGTCGATAACTATTATAACAACCACTTATGTTACAATGTTATAACTCTGTAGACTGAACAAGGCATAAGAGAGTTTTGACTAGAACTCCAAATCAGTTAAAAGTAGATTTTTTAGGTAGTTCTGCGAAGAGTTCCATGACGATTGTGAAGAGAATATATTCTAATTCTAATATTCTAAATACACTCTGAGAAGAATTTCAATCGAGCTCTGATGAGGATATTTAATAGAAAATTTCAACTGTATTCTGAAGGGAATTCTTCAAAAAATAGAGAGGGAAACGAATTGTGTCTCTGAAATTAAATCTCTATACGATCCGGTCACGGCACCGGAACGTACTTTACTGGCCTGGGTGATGTACTTCAAGATGCGATGGATGAGGAACTCCATGTCAACATAGCGGCCCTGGATTTAGCTAAGGCGTATAACCGCGCCTAACCCAGTTGACTGACTGCGGTCTGGGTGGCCACATTCTACACTTTGTAAAAAAAATTCCTTTGCGGCAGAAGCTTTCAGGTGATGATCGGGAACCACCGCTCCTCAACCCGGGCGGAAGAAACTGGAGTCCCACAGGGATCCGTCATAGCGGTCACCATCTTTATTCTTGGTCGCCATGAATGGAGTCTTTGGAGGCCTACCAAAAGGAATATACGTATTTGTCCTGCTGGCTGTCGGACGCACCCTCAAGGCCAGCATCTACATCCCAGAGGATGATCTACCGCTGGAGATTAATCGGCCTTTCAGTCCACGGGAACTCGACCTAGCTCTATCCAAGGCTACCGGGAAATCGACCGGCCCAGATGACGTCGGGTACCCCATGCTAAAATACCTATCACCGGAATGCAAGACCACACTCCTCAGACTTCTCAATAGAGAATGGCTGGATAATTCCATTCCAGAAGACTGGAGACACAGCCTAGTCGTCCCGATCCCGAAGCAGGGCACCTCGGGTCGCGAACCGAAGGACTTCCGACCGATATCTTTGACATGTTGCGTCAGTAAGGTGCTGGAGAGAATGGTCAACCGTAGACTCGTGCTCTACTTAGAGAGTAACGGCTACATTGACCACCGCCAGCACGCTTTCCGTCCTGGACACGGAGCCGGGATCTACTTCGCCACTTTGAACCAGGTACTTCGAGACGCGAGAGATTTTGACCAGCATGCTGAACTCGCTACGCTAGACATCTCTAAGGCTTATAACAGGACATGGACACCCGACATTCTTGCTCAACTCACGGACTGGGGTCTGTCGGGCCACGTTCTCCATTTTTTGAAGAACTTCCTCCGACACCGTACTTTCCAGGTATGCATCGGAAACCATAGATCAAGAGGATTCCCAGAGGAGACTGGCGTTCCGCAAGGTTCGGTGATCGCAGTCACGCTGTTTCTAATACGGATGAACGGAGTGTTCCACAGCTTACCCAAAGAAATATACATCTTCGTGTATGCAGACGATATCGTCTTGGTGGCGGTCGGATCCACAGTGAAGGCCCTTCGCAGAAAACTCAACGCGGCCACGAACGCAGTTCTACGCTGGACTAAATCCGTCGGATTCCACCTATCGGTGGAGAAATGCGCATATACCCACATTTGTCCGTTCAATCACCAGGTGCTCCGCTCTCCTATCAGCGTCGACGGAAGGATCATGCCGTTTAAGAAGTCTATCCGCGTCCTCGGCATACGCCTGGATCGGCATTTAAACTTTGGAGACCATTTCAACGAAGTGAAAGGGAATTGCCAAACAAGAATCGGCTTGCTGCGGACATTAGCCAGGAGGCATCTAGCGAACAACCGTGCTGTCCGGATGCGCGTGGCTAAAGCGGTAGTCGATTCAAGATTAACATACGGTATAGAACTGGCTTGCCTAGCTGCCGACAGGATGATTTCCCAACTGTCCCCGGTATATTACCAGGCCATTCGAATCACATCAGGTCTCCTCCCCTCCACCCCCAGGCTTGCAGCTTGTGTGGAGAGTGGAAGGTTACCCTTCGACAAATTTATCGTTGCTACCGTTTGCAAGAGGGCAGTTGGCTTCGCAGAGAAGACAACTGGAACAAGTGATGGAGTGTCCCTCCTTATGGAGGCGAACAAACTCCTGAAGGACGCCGCAGACCTGGAACTCCCCCCGGTAGCCAGGGTCCACAGGTGTGGAGCCAGGGGTTGGAACTCACCCGGACTTTCTATCGACTTGGCGATAAAGAACAGATTCCGGGCGGGAACCAACTCCCCCGCACTAGTGAGATCGGTGGCCGAACTACAACGAACCAAGTACCCAAATCACCTAGCAAGATACACTGACGGATCTCGAACAGGCGGAAGAGTAGGCATTGGGATATCCGATCCGGAGCTACGCACCTTCTACCGACTTCCGGACCCTTGCAGCGTTTTCTCTGCTGAAGCTCCGAACCAACAAACCTGTCGCCATATTTTCTGATTCAGCCAGCGTATTAACAGCTCTTCAGTTCGATACAGCCAAGCACCCTTGGATCCAGGCTATCCAGAAGCTCGCTCATAAAGGAACAACTTTCATCTGGATCCCAGGACACTGCGGGATCAGAGGAAATGAGGAAGCGGATCATCTGGCAGCATCCGGAAGACAGGAAAACCTCTATACCCAAAAGGTCCCTGCTCAAGACATCAAGCGGTGGATCGTGACTACAGTATGGAATTGCTGGACAAATGAATGGCTGCGATCTCAAGATCTGTTTATCCGAAAAATTAAAGGGGATACCAGAAGATGGGATGATCCGCCTGAACACCGATCTCAAGTAATTTTATCGCGGCTGCGAACCGGTCATACCAAAGCCTCTCATAACATGGCCAGTGGCTGAAAGTCACTCTAATAAAGAAAAAAAAAAAAAAACCCTCAAGGCTTTGCGAAGGAAATTACAAGCTGCTGTATCAGCCACCACAAGATGGGCCTGTAGGGTCGGCTTTGAATTATCCGCAGAAAAGAGCGTGGTTTCCCACCTATGCCACTCCCGTCATCACCCGCTACCAACAGCCATCGTTTCAAACAATATTCCAATACCCAACAAGAAGACCAGCCAGGTTCTTGGTGTACGCTTGGACCGGGAGCTGAGGTTCGACGCACATTTCAATGAGATCAAAGCCAACTGCCGCACGAGGCTAAACCTCCTCCGGACACTTTCCAAACCACACCGGAGCAGTAACAGAGAGATTCTACTAAAAGTGGCCAAAGCCACCGTAAACAGTAGATTATTCTACGGGATTGAACTGTTCTGCCTTTCCAAGGACTCTCTTACCACACGACTAGCCATAACCAGGCAATCTGAATCGTCGCAGGACTTCTGCCTTCAACATCGGCTGTATCGGCATGCGTCGAACTCGGTGTACTACCGTTTCAATATCAACTCGCCGAAACGTTGAGCTGCAAAACGACCAGCTACCTGTAAAAGACCACCAGGAACCACGAGGTCTTTCTCCTCAGGAAGGGGAACAGAGCTCTCGGAAACTTGGTCCATCAAGAGCTCCCACCCGTGTCCAGGGTACACTGGAACGGAGCCAGAGGATGAACAGAACCAACCATACGCGTTGACCTTTCAATTGCCAAGCGCTTCAAGGCAGGTAACAATTCCCGTGCCATGCAGGCCCACGGCTGCGACCATCCACTTCGCCACCACGACACCCACCAATAAACCCATATGTGTCCTAACAGACTCCGCCAGCGTTTTATACGCCTTGAATTCAGCAACATCCAGACACCCCTGGATACAAGGGATCCAAAAGGCCGCACCGCCGAACACCTCATTTGTTTGGATACCCGGTCATTGCGGTATATGGGGTAACTGTGAAGCAGATCATCTCGCTGCCACAGGTCGCTCCGGCCGGATGGCCACCACAGTTGTACCGTAGTAGTCCGAACGTAAAAAATGGGTGAAAGCATCCCTCCGAGACGCCTGGGTCCGGGAGTGGTTCGCAAAAAGGGGACCGTTCCTGAGAAAAGTAAAGGGCGACACCTCCAAATGGAATGACATTACGAGCCGATGGGAACAACAGGTCTTATCCCGGCTTCGATCCGGACACAACATGGGTAGCGCTACCTCTTTTCGGAAGTTTTGCGACTCCTGCAACACGATTATGACAGTCGAACACCTGATTGTTAACTGTCCCTGCTTCCATAACATCTGGCTCCTCTATGGAATACCGAACAGCATACGTAACGCCCTCTCTAACGACCCGTCCTGTAGCCGGCATAAAGTTGGCTAGCCTAAATCGGTCTACTAGAGTGTTCCGTGGATTGGTTTTTAAACAAATGGCTTAAGCGCCACCTCCATAGAGGACCACTTGTCGTTTCGGATGCCCGGCAAACTCAAAACCCCAGGGCGAGTTCAGTCTAATGCAAAAGATTGGAACGCGCTAGTAGACGTTAAGTACTTGGGATTCAAAGAAAACACTGGACGACCGGAATACAAAAGATTCACCAAATTGGGTGTGAGTCTTGATTCTCTAATTCACCAACTGCTTTTCGTGGTGATATCCCGGTGGGTGGGAAAATTGCTCACCTGGAGCGCGATATTGACGGCGCAGCTCCCTTCTAACTCCGGCCGAAGTTAGGACCTTTAATACCGACGCGTGGGGTCAGGGTAGTGGTAATAACGGGGGGCGCGGTATGCCGAGCGGGAGGTGGTGGGACGAAACTAGAGACAAAAAGCCGTCAAACGGCTGTACAACTGGATGAGCGCATTGTTGCAAACCCGCATAGTAAATCATTTACCTTTTTGTTGAAACTTAAATCGCGCACAGTACCGCACTAGCTTACAAAACTTATTCAGTAGTAACTACACCTAATCAAAAGGAATTAACGAACAATTAATTACACTGAACTTAAAGACACTCCTCACATTTAAATATACCTCAACAAACACATCGCGAAACTATACCAAAAAACTTCACAGTCCTGCCTCTTCCACGGGTTGGATTGAAGTGGACGAGAAAGATCTTGGGATTCCTCAGAAAGGCCGCTAAAACAATTCTTGGCCTTCGTTCCGGAAACCGAAAAACGATCTTATCAAAAGGCGATCTCCGATTACCTTCCGATTCGATCAGAGATACTATCTCTTTTCCTCTCAAGTATCCCACATCTGTCTAGCTCATTCCAATCTTTAACTTAAAGTGTTTTTCTTATTATTAAATTTCCGACGACAAGTAATCCTACTGGGAGATTATACTCAATCCCACGGATCAAATTTCATGCCACCTCAAATGAGAAAACTTACGCGCCTAGTGAGCGGATGAACAAGTAATGAGTGAAATTTCATGCAGGGATAATTTACTCTTGATATGAGTTCACCAGTTGCATACAAGTGAACTGGGATAGTGCGTGTCGTTTCGAATAGTAACAGTGAACATTTGTAGCATTTGAACTTCATGCTACATTAATTTAATATCTAATTCGAATACCGCTACAGTCCACGGAAGCAGCCCTAATAGTTTTCCTAAAAGATGCTGGACTGTTCTATAAAATATAATCAATATATACAAAATGACTCCGCCACGAACATGGACACATATCCTCCTTTGGTTATTACTGTTGAAGACAATCACATTGGGATCTCGAAGACTGTCTTACAATTTCCGGAAAGCCGATCATCGTAGCATTGATTGGGAAAACATACTCGATTCTGATAACGTCGAAACCGCTGCTCAAACTTTTTCACATGTCTTGGCTGATGTCATAGACAGACACGTACCTAAGAGCGTTCACCAGATTGCATCGCACCTCCCTTGGCAGATGAACGAATTGAAGAAGATGAAATCGATCAAGAGAGCCGCGTTGAGGAAATTCACTAAATATCGAACGATGTCACTGAAACGTCACTACGTTAAGCTCAATTATCAGTTCAACCGAGTCAGCGAGTCAATGCTACTTGTACTATCTGCGAGGGATTCAAAGGAAATTCAAGTCATTTTTTTTTATTTTATTTTTGTTATTTTATTTATTTACATCAACAGACTGGATGAAGCCCCAATGATTTAAACCTTATCAATTATGGAAAAAAAAATACATTCAAACATGGTCATAACATAAAAAAAAACATTAAAAAACGTATATCGTCGCACCCGACGTCTTTCTGAAAGTACGTGAAGGAGCAGCGCAGAGAGTCCGGTCTACCATCGTACCTGATGTCCTTTCGATTTCTAGTTCCCGTGATTGCTCCTCGAATGGTCTCCGGATCTACTACCAAAACGTGCGTGGGCTGAGGACTAAAATCGACTCGTTTTTCCTGGCTGTTGTGGAGGCCGAATATGATTTGATTGTGCTGACGGAAACGTGGCTGGACGACCGAATTTACTCATCGCAACTTTTCGGGTCACTCTATTCCGTCTTCAGAACTGACCGGTCTGCTCTAAACAGTCAAAAATCGCGCGGTGGCGGAGTCCTGATTGCAGTATCTACTAGACTAGCCAGCTACGTAAGTACGTCATCCATTTCCAGTCAACTGGAACAGCTGTGGATTGTCGTAGAACTTCCACAAAGCAAGCTTAGTGTAGGCGCAATCTACCTACCTCCTGACCGCAAAAAACGACTGCACGATCATCCGTGAGCATGTGGAATCGTTAGGCTCAATTTCGTCACAATTAAGTCCCTGCTCTCCCGCTTTCATATTTGGTGACTACAATCAAGCTGGTCTGCAGTGGCGCTTTACAGACAGTGGCACACCATTAATTGATCCACTGCTTTCGCATATGCCGGTTGCTTGCTGTGCTCTTTTGGACGGTTTTAACTTTTACGGGTTCACACAAGTGAATACTCTTCCGAACCGAAATGGACGTTTGCTAGATTTTGTCTTGGCAAATGATTCCGCACTACCGGGCACTTCTGTTTCCTTGCCGGTCGAGCCACTGATTGATCTAGATGCCGATCATTCCGCGCTCGTCGTGTCATTTAGTTTACCTACGCCGATTCTTTTTACGCCGTCATCTGAGTGCTACTCTTTGGACTTTCGCCGGGCCGATTATGTTGCTTTGAACAATGCGCTTGCGGAAATTGATTGGCAATTTATCGAAACTGCCGCTAGCGTGAATGATGCAGTGGATTTTTTCAGTGCTGCACTGGAAGATGCTATTTTCCGCATTGTCCCAGCTCGACGACCTCCGCTAAAGCCTACATGGTCTATCTGCAGTTGAATTTTTAAATAAATAAACAAATAAATCATCGATGATATTGAACGGCGAAGTCGCTTCCGCTCCACAGAAAGTCTACCGCCTGTTCTACAACAAGTTTGCAAGTTTCTTCTCTGACGAGAGCTTAACCAACGAATACGTGACTCTAGCAGCAAGCAACGTTCCACTTTCCGGTCAAGCTCTGGGTGGAATTGTTGTCAACGCTGAAGTGATAACGACTGCCGCACTAAAACTAAAGCCTTCTATCAACCCAGGACCGGATGGTGTCTCTTCAGTCTTTCTGATGAAGCATATCGCTAACTTACTGTCACTGCTACAACATCTGTTCCGATTGTCCATATCGTGTGGCATTTTTCCATCGAACTGGAAATTTGTGCATATGTTCCCTGTGTCTAAAAAGGGTAGTAAACGGAACGTGGATAATTATCGTGGAATTACATCGTTGTGTGCAATTTCGAAGTTATTCGTGTTAATCATCATAGAGCCTTTGCCCGCCCATTGCAAGCAGTATCTAAGTGAAGATCAACATGGCTTCACCTCTGGTCTATCTACTAACACGAATCTACTGTGAATCTACATCGTACATCACGCAAAGTATGGTTGAAAGGTCACAAACAGACGTCATCTACACTGACTTGTCTGCTGCCTTCGATAAGATAAATCACGCCATCGCGATCGCCAAATTGGATAGACTTGGGATTAGCGGAAATCTCTTGAGATGGTTTTGCTCATATCTCGCCGATCGGCAGTTGGTGGTAGCCCATGGTGGCTGCCGACATTTTCGCAGCTACGTCAGGAATACCTCACGGAAGTCATCTGGGACCATTGATTTTCTTACTCTACTTCAATGACGTGAATTTAGTTATCGAAGGTCCACGACTATCGTATGCAGACGATCTCAAAATCTACTTACGGATCTGCTCGATCGATGATTGTCATTTCCTCCAACGTCAGTTTGAAGCATTTGCCAGCTGGTGCCATTTGAACCGAATGACAGTAAATCCTGCGAAGTGTTCAGTCATCACTTTTACCCGAAAGTTATTTTTCACAATGCTCTCCGGGACACCATTATTGAACGTGTGAGCCATGTAAAAGATCTAGGTGTCATCCTGGACTCTCAACTTACATATAAGCAACACATCTCGTACGTCGTCGACAAGTCGTCAAGGACATTGGGCTTTATCTTCAGAACAGCTAAGAATTTCTCCGACATCCATTGCCTCAAGTCACTGTATTGTTCCCTGGTACATTCCATTCTAGAATATTGTTCTGTGGTTTGAGAATGTTACCTTGGAGGGACACGTTTCATTTGCCCAGCTATGAAAGTCGCTGCCAGCTGATCGACTTGGAGCCTCTTCGCACCAGAAGAGAAACTTCAAAAGCCCTGCTTGTCGCGGACACGTTACATGGCAGAATTGATTGCATGGCAATCTTGGAGCAAGTAAACATTAACGTCCAACCCCGAATGCTTCGTAATAATGTTATGCTGAGAATGCCACTACGTAGGACAAACTATGCAATCAACGGTGCAATAGGCGGACTGCAGCGAGTATTTAACCGAGTTTCATCAATATTCGATTTTAACCTGCCACGACTAACACTTCGGAGACGTTTCTCTTCATTCTTCTCCAGAAATGGAAACAGTCAATGATCGTGTTTTAATGTTTTGTAGTTTTAACTTATGACTTTAATTTTAATTTTAAGCTAAACCATCATTGGGACCATATCGAGTCTGTTGATGCTGACAAATAAATAAATAAAAACAAGCAACCACTGCAATGAGCCTGGATATCACATGACGATTACCTGACTGCCTTCGACAACGACCACCGCCATTCACACCATGATTCCCCAACCACGCTAAGAACCAAAACAGGAACTAAAACGCCGTCCCTTCTGGAGCCCCACCAACCTCTAGGAGAACCCCTTCTGGGTTCTCCAAACTCTCAACTATGTAATTAGGGAAGCCCCCTTCTGGGGATCCCGGAGATGAACCAGCCTGCGGCTGAAAATCTCCTAAAACATAAAAAAAAATCTATATCCATCGCACATAACAAATCTTTTCAATTTCCTCTATCCCGCAGTCACTGGAGCACCCGGTACGCACCAACCAGATTCCGCGCCAGATCCCGGACCAGTCGATCTACACCCAACCGATCCCCGGCATCATCATGGGCGGCGTCCTGCCATTCGGATGCATCTTCATTCAGCTGTTCTTCATCCTGAACTCGCTATGGTCCAGCCAGATGTACTACATGTTCGGTTTTCTGTTCCTGGTCTTTTTGATTCTGGTCATCACCTGCTCGGAGACGACCATCCTGCTGTGCTATTTCCACCTGTGCGCCGAGGACTACCACTGGTGGTGGCGATCGTTCCTGACATCGGGCTTCACCGCGGTCTATCTGTTCATCTACTGTTGTCACTACTTTGCAACCAAGCTGCAGATCGAGGACGCCGCGTCCACCTTCCTGTACTTTGGCTACACGCTGATTATGGTCTTTCTGTTCTTCTTGCTAACCGGATCGATAGGTTTCTTCGCTTGCTTCTGGTTCATTCGAAAGATCTACAGCGTAGTGAAGGTGGACTAAAAGAGCCCCCCGCTCGCCCACCAGGCCAGATTGCAGTCAATCAGTCGATCCCTTTCGGAACTACTCCCCCTTCTAAATATACTTTATTCTCTATTTTTGAGATAGTTTAAACATTTGTCTAGACTGTAAGCTTATTATTTAAAACTGATGCAAATTATTAGCGACGAAAGGAAAGAATCAAAAAAGATTAAAACGATGCACTTAAATATTGATTTTATGCAAGGAAAATTGACAAACTGAGATGAAAATCCCCCTGAGTTCTGGTAACAATGCAATCCATTAGTAGACATAAGGGGTTGAGAGAGATCCCTGTTAATTTTCTTCTTAGGACGGGCAAATCGTGATAATTGATCACTCATAAGCACCTTCCAAAAGCAGAAACAAAAATAAACACAAGCAAAAGAGAAAGAAGAGAGTGATCACAGAAGTTGTATGCGCAAAAAGAAAAAAACATAAAACCAAGGAACACAAAGATTGATCGGAAGAGAACATGTGTGTGATTACTTTTTAGTAGATTAATATCAAAACAGTAAATGCCTTCTTTTTGTTTAATTATTTAACTTGATTAAGTACAGGAAAGATTACACGAACATAAAAGGAAACACTAATAAACTATAGCCGTAAATTAGTATCTGTTAGGTATGTATTATACTTGTAATTGGGTGGATTAACTGAAAGAAGGAAGTATTAGTGGGAAAAGAAAATTGGAAAACATTCGACTCAAGTCAATATATAAAAAAAATAAAGTTTCTTTAGATCCCACGGTTTGTTCGGTCGAATGAAATGCACAGTAAAGTTGTAAAGGCATGGATAGTGCCGATTCCTGAGCAAACCTCATTTTCAAAATTGATCTACTATTATATAGAGTTGGGGTTCTGACATGAAACTAAATAACTAATTTTTGCTAGAGTTTGAAATTATGCAAATTCAGGACTGCATGTCGTAACAAATAATGTAACTTAAATTCATTTGTCAAGCTGTTCGGTGTATCAGAAATAAGTTTTTGATGCACACAAGCCAGAAGTGAACCACAATTCGCAATTCGGAGAACATTTTGAATTGCAACCAATATAATCGCTGACCGACTTTCCTTCTTCGATTTCGTTATGTGAGAGAACACAGCAACAAGAAATAGAAAAATAGTCTACTAATAGACTACTCACAAAAAGCAGGCTAAAAAACAGATAATTGAAAAATGGTGAAATCAATAAATTTACGGTAACTTATAAAACATAGCTTCCTTGCGTTTTAATTAATATTTAATTTCATTTGACGATGAGCATTGAAATCAACACTTCTATTTTCTCCCAAGAGAACATGAGATCCACCTGGGGCGAGATTTGAGAGTGTACGCGGTAGTGTTTTAGCAACGATGTTTTACAGAGAGAAATATTCGTTGTGTTATGTCTGTTTGTCTGTGGTTCGAATTGTTTTGAACACTTAACGAATTGTTTTGAACTTTTAAATTGAAAGGTTGTAGCGGCCCCGCGGCAGCCTCGATTCTACCAACAATCAATACGAAACTAACGATTTTAAATTGGCTCACCACTTTAGTAGCCTATTGGTCCCAAGCAAACGATTAACGTACCCTATTCTAGTTGAAATTCTATTACTACACTATGTTTGTTTTGATTCGCTATGAAAGTTTGACAGATAACATCAGGGGTGTGTGGATTCATGCAGAACATGCAGGAGTGAGTGAAATAGCTTGGAACTGCTTGGGACCGTTGTTCTGGTACTGAGTGAGCCAAAAATAATAATGATTTTCTTCGGGACCCAGTGGTCTTAGAGTTACCTCTATGATTCTACTACTTGTTCCCGCTTGGTTTCATTAAGGGGTTACGCCTACCTGCAAGACCGAAAAAAAGCGAAAGTTTGGATTTTTTTTCTCGAAAACGACGCAACATATTGAAAATCGGTTTTCTGCCGTTTATTGAACACACATTAAATGGTACATTTATCAGTCGATGCTGTAAAAACGAGGTCCTGGTGCCCCGCACGGCTGCTCCCCGTGGACGATGTTCTAAAAAACGCTTTTTGCGGTGCCAACTGCGGTTTGTGATGTAATCATCTGAAATAAAAAAAAACATGCCAAATCGTTAAGCATGTGTTAAACTAGTCCTTGATCGTTCGGTTTTTTTTTTAATTTTTTTGACAAAATGGCGGCCTTGCACAGTTGAAGTGCCGATTATTGATCCTTGATCGGCTGTAAAAATCGAAATTAAATGATAGACGAAATCCGAACGATCGTGGACTGCACAAAATAGTACTGAACAGAAATCAAAACGAATCGGACGAATCGAATGTATACATTTCGAGAAATTTTTGGCACCAGTGTTGAAAATATGAATCCGAGATAATCGCGTTTAAAGTTTCAAGTTGGGTTTAGTCAAGTCCCCGGCAAGGTGACAGATAACCTTAGTTTCACGTACCCACTTGCAAATAGTAGATGTCGCCACACGACGTAAACAAAGGGATTGTCCTTCACCGCCGCAACGGTATTTCTCTATGGAAAACCAACTTTTTGTTTCACTGTGTGTGGATGTCAAACAACAGACAAGAATGCCATATGAAAAGAGCTAATTTATGATTTTAGTTGTGAAATGAAACAAATCAATACAAATTGAACCATCTTCTTCACGGATACAAATTTTGTTCATTTAAATAAAATTCATAAAAAAATATAAATGTTTATACCCTAAACATGAATTATTCAAAGTAAATTGAAAGCATGTTTAAAACTAAAATATTTATGTTTGAATAAAATTCACAAGTATGTTTATTTCAACAATATATGATTTGGGTAAACGGTTTTTAGCGTGTCATGCATCTTTATTTCCTTCTTATTGCATTCGGAAAAAGTTCCCCCAGCTTTGCTCAACTCAACAGAAAACGACCTGAAAGTGGCATAACCGAAGATGGATCCGGAAACCAGCTCGACAAAACCGGTGGAACCCCACAGTATCAACTTCACTCCGTCGTTTATGATGCCGATCTCTATATCATCCTCATCCACATGTGACTTCGAAAGAACAACGAAAATCCGAACGTAGAAAGAAACCGGTATGATGACCAGTGGAAGAAACGACAAAACGACGGTAATGTCACAATTTTTCACCGGTTCCACTGAACTAAAATCCCCGAACACCAACCCCGACGGGTACCCGCATCCCGGACCAGGACCCCAATACCATTAGGTCACCCTTAATCGCACCCGAAAAAGAGCAGGCATGTAGATGCCCTGCCCGAAGATCTTTTTGTTTTTCATTTGCAATAAGCATATTTATTTTTGTTCGTCTAGCTGTCAAACCAAACAAAAACAAATACGTTTATTTTCAACACGAATATTTTTAAAGTAAACTTAATATTATTTTTATTTTAAACATTGATTTCACATGACTTCAAACATGGAATACGTTTGAAATCAACCTAATTTATTTTTGTGGCCAGAACAAACTGAGTTTACGTTTAAATTTACCTCAAATATTTTTGTTTCGACGATAGTTTTTTCTGCGTGTAAAATAAAGATGATTTGTCATCTTGTTATCACTTTGAAGACCATCTAGCACCATTTTATAGTATGGTGCGTGTTGAGTAAAGCAACCCGAAAAAAAAATACAGTGAAATTTTCAGTGGAAACAATGCTCTAACATTAATATTTATTGTCGACAATAAAAATGATTGTTATAATGTTGTACCCTTCCGAAAACGGCAAAACTGCTACCTAGCTGTACAATGAATGTACATAATAAAATGTTGTTACAATGTTTTTTATCGTATTTATCATTTATTTTATTGTTAACATGATTCGATCACGAACAATAATGAACAATTCTATTACAATAAAAAATGTTGTTACATTAAATATTGGTGTGTTTTCATTGTGGGTTACTTCACGAACAATAAAAATAAATCTGATTGAAGTATGCAGACTATGAGAGGGTCAGCAACACTGCCAATGTAATCAAGATAGGCGCTGCTCGTATGGCTCGTCGTTGCCAAGTCAATTGAACGCCTACGACCAGATAGGTTTGAGTTGAACTCAACTCTCCTGCCTCATCTAAATCCCGCTTAATGCAGACCTTTTCCGTGCAGTCAATAATCATACAATAATAATAAAAAAATCCACCACTTGAAGATGTCAGGAAATAACTCTCAGGTGGAAGCATATTTCATGGGCGATTCTCTCCCGTTGAATGCATTAACTTATCAACGACGCTCAACCACCAAGGAGACGTGACCTAGAGAGATCGAGTGCAGGGGAGTTGGCTTCCATTTCTCACAAGTTCCGGATCGAATCTCAATCCCATAACCAGTAAAAAAAGGACTCACCCGTAACAGACATTACCACCCCCTTCCCTCCCCGGGGCGATGTTTCATTTTTTTGATTTATTTTTAAAGTCGATAAAGTAGATCTGTCAAGCCAACACATACACTCTAAAGTACACTGTTATTTTTTTTTAATCAATAAATTCGCCAACCAACAGTAAAATAACAATAATATATAATGTTATTGAAAAAAAATTATATGGGGAAATCACGAAAATTTCATTGTTAAGATACTTAACAACCCCCCTTTTTTATTGTAAATTTTCCATTTACCATGAAATTTACTGTTTTGTACAACATAAATCAAGGTAAATTTATTGTAGACGTAACAATATAAATCATTGTTAAGACAATAATTTTCGTCTTATTGTTACATTGTTTTTTATTGTATTTTTGTTGTTATTTTTTTTCGGGAAGTTCCGTTGCGTTTTCCTTCGAAAATGGTGAGTATCAATATGTTTGCTTAGAAAAGGCCAAAATGAACATTTATTGAATATTGGCGTCCTATACAACCAATTCTCCATTACCACCAGCATGATACAACCTTTCCTAAGTAAATTAACTTAATTTCCACTTTCATCTTAGTGGAAATCGCACATATTCACCATTTTCCGAAAAATGCAGCTGCGCAGGAAGTAACCTCTCACTGTGGGTGCAAACTTGTTATGCATTATTTTCCATGAAAACCTCTCCGATCCATACCTAAATAATAACCATTAGTTTTCAAACACGTTTTCTTACACGATTCAAGCAAAAGTTTCCACGGGAAATTATTAGTTTCGGTCCATAAACGAATTGCCCCAAAAATCGTCTGTTTTACTTGGAAAATTTGGAAATTATCCTCCTTCTAGTAGTTCTTACTTCGAAATGTAGGAGGCTTGGAAAAGTTTCACTGTAAGACGCCAATATAATATAGAATATAATATATAATATAGAATATAATATATAATATAGAATATAATATAAAATATATAATATAGAATTATATATAATATAGAAGAATATATTCGTTGACACTTGACAGCTCACTCCCATACAAAGTCCCACCAAGGGGCGCTAAAATGGTGATTTTTTTGCTAATGTAATCGTACTTATTTAAAATCGTTCCAGTGTACCAAAATTGATGAAATTTCGGGTTTGGGTTCCATGTTTAATGCAGATAACAAATATGTATTTACCTCAACACCCCTAAACAAGCATGTCTTGGAAGTTCCGTCGATGTTTTTCCGACTTCTCTCAGAACCTAGCTCAGAACACTTTTCTCAAATTTCCTCCAGGAGAATTTCTTTCTTCTTTCTCTGGCTCTTGTTTTCAGCTTCCCCTAGAAGCTAATTCAAACATTCCCCGGAGTTTTCTTCGAAAATTTCCGATCATAGGCCAAAAGTTAAAATTTTCGCTTTCAAAAACGGCAAAAATATAAAATTAATTAAAATAGAAAATATTGATAAATTCCGATTTTTGTTAAACCTTTGATACCGATAAGCTTTAAACCTCACTTTAAACATTCTGGCAACGCTGGTCTTATTATAACATCGACTGTGAGGCTGTGTTCCATTTGGAAAATTTTCACTTAGATTTGACACTTTGAAAATAAATTAAGATGTTCGAAAATCCCTCTGTTGTTAATCGGCCGATTTTCGAGAAAGCGTCTGAAAAAATTGATTCCTTGTCTGTCAGAAATAAGTTTGCTGGAATAGCAGGTTTATTTGAACATTTTCCATCTGTTAAATTTAAGTAAAAGTTCATCAAATGGAACACATCCTGATAGAATGGACCTAATGGACTATGCAACGTCCGTTTCGAATTTGACAGTAACTGAACAGTTCAATCTGATACCCGCCAACTGTCGTGATGGCGTCCACCTTACCGCCGTTACTTGCCTTGAACGGTGGCGGGCATAATTCGTTTCGTTCGCGTTTTTCGGATGGTCAGCGCGGCGCTGCAAAAATTGACTTCTTCTTTTTGGCACATTGCTTTGCAACCGCAGCGAGCTCAGCACAGCAGAGAGGAGCCGGCCGTACAGAAGAAAAAAAAAACGCGATTTTGCCAATCTCCAATAAACGCAGTGAATTATCGGGCACCAGAAAACGGATCGTGCGTCGCCGTATTCGCGAGAAAAAGTGCGGAAAATATCGACCAGTTAGGCGAGTGGTGTTTTCCCGTCGGAGTGAATCGTTTTTGGCTGCCTGAAAACCCAGGAAATCCCAGGTGGAAGTCCTTTTCCTGCTGTGAGTGTGGATCTGTCTGGAACCAAGAAAAAAGGCAGAACGGAGTAGCAGGAGAGAAAAAAACGAAGCGATCCATCGTTCATCGCGCTGTGCGTGTGTGAAAATTGTGGAAAAGGTTTTAATTGCGTTTGGGAAAAATCCTGTGTAGATAATTTTTGGTGTTTTGCTGTTTTCCGTGGCCGAGAGGTGCGCTAAAGCCCAGACAAGATGCAGATCTTGCAGATCCTTGAGAAGACCGTATCACCAGGTGAGTAGTTTTTGTGTGCTGGAATTGACGGATCGGAATGGGAAAGCATCATCCATCCCTATCAAGTAGTTTGTACCGTGTCTTCTTCTCGGTTGTACACGGGAAATCGAAGGCGGAAGACTTTTCCTCTATTGTGGAAGTTCCCCAGCATGAGATTGGACCTCAGCAGCATCGTGGAGGGCGAAAGTGATTTCAGCATATTAAAGTGGAAGCAGCAGGCAGAGGCATATGAAGGAAAAACGTCGCCTTGAAATTACGTCTCGCGCTTTTTGTACAAGTATTCGTGGCAGGAGAAAGAGAGAGAGGGAGAGTGTTGAGAGAAAGATGAGACAAAGAGGAAGCTTGAATATCAGCTACCGAGGGGTGGCTCACAGGGCGACATGCACTAGAGTGCTGAAATCAGCTGATAAGACGTTCAACGTTTATTTGATTTTCTTGTTTTTTCATCAATTCAATTTAATACGACCTGATACTCAATGCTGCACCTAGTTGGTATTGTTTAGAATTCTATATCTTATCTTGACTTTCTAGTTAGAAAAGTCTATTGGGACAGAGAAGTCATGGTACACCATGTATTGCTCAAGGACATTCTGCATCACTGTACATCTGAAAGAGTTTCTTTTTCTGAGCACAACCATATTTTTTTCGAACCCATAAGTGCACCCCAACGACGATTTTTATAGATAATAATCGTATTGTCAATACATTTTATATTGACGTGAATACATCGATATTGACTATTTATGTATTCACATCATCAATATTACTGTCAATACTTGTAAGTATTGTCAATATTTCTTACCGTGTGGGGTTCGATTTAAAGCGAATTAATGACTTTACTGTTTGACACTAAACTAACAAATTGAGAGGCTCTAAGATGGTGATTTTTGTTAATATAATCGCACTTCTTTAAAATAGTTCCAGTGTACCAATATTGGAGAAATTTTGGTTGTTGCATTTTAATGCAGATTGCGAATATGCATTTATCTCCATACCCTTAAGGTTCTACAAAGGGTCATTATTTTGTTTACTTCTTCTTTTTGAAATATTTTTCGATCATCATTTTCTAAATGTATTGGTAAAATTCATTGGAAATGCATGTCCCCACGCCAAAACTGCCCATTTTTCATAAATATCAACTGGTATGGTGAGGAAAACTTAACCATCTCTTTTCTTCCTTCATTTCAATACAACAGAAAATGTGATGTCACACTATCTAGTGGATAAGAATGTAGCAGACAAAACATAAGCACTGCCAGACTGCGCTGTATGCAAGTTTGTTTACACCCCTGAGCGGGAAAGTGTATAACAGGCTACGTGCACTGCTGCCATCAACCCTGTTAGTGTTGAATTCAATCTTCTGTGACTTTTTTAATTGGACCGGTAAAATGTTTAAAATGGTCATTTATGTTTTATTTAATCAGTTATTGATATTTATCCACCATTAAATACATCCACTCATCTATGTTAATAAGGCAGACTTCGCAATTAATTGTTTTAATAAACTTAAATTCATTGCTAGAGGCAATACATCTGGCACCGCTGTTTCAATGATACTTTCACGATTGCTAGCAAAGCAGTAAAGTAGAAATGGTTTTCTTTGTGATGAATTTTGTTCACCAAGAGTTTTGTGAAGCAGTTGTTTTGAGTTTCGTGTATTCGATTGCGTTTAATTGTGCTATACTTCGAAGAACACAAGTAAGTAAATACAGTGAATGTGTTTTACCCAGGAAATTTTCGTGTTTTACCCACGAAATACATGTTTTAAATTTTCGTATTCATAATATATGAATGTATGTGTAAACTAATGATAATGATTTTATGATATTTAAAAAAGAAGAAGAACACAAAATTACTTACCCTTTGTAGAACCTTAAATGAACCCAATTAGGAATCGATTGCTTTCTCCACGAATGATCTTACATTTTACTACAGACTTGAAGTTGTGCCACCTAACTAACTGATCATAACCCTAATAAAAAAATACCATAAACGAACGATAACCAAAATCATTGAACTATTCCACAAATGGTTTGGATGATACCCCGAACACGTCGTTAAGCAAATTAACCATAACATTTCTATTAGGGAAGTAATTGACTTTTTAACATTTCTGGGTGATGAAAACTCAAGGCTAACAGGAGTTCGACCCGGTTACGAATGACCCTAGAGTCTACTCTCAACGAATGATAAATAATCAATTTAGTTAATTGTTAGTTTTCAAATAATCGAGGTCGAATCCTAAATGTATACTTCCACCAATTATAACGCACGGGTAGCTCCTACATGTATGCAACCTAAATATCATGCATAAAGCATTACATCTAATCTAGAAAAAGAAAACTTAAGTAGAGTGGCAAAAATTAAGCGAGATAATTTCATTCTACTTCGCGACTAAACATGTGTAAGAGACAAGAACCTCAGCTAGCTCGTTTCTCGATTTTTTTGTGAAATAGGTTGACAGAGCGAAATCGAAAGCCTCTTTCGGAATCGTATGCTGAACTATTGTCACTATTAAGACTTTAAAACATGACTATATTCGATATTTTAGTCACTACTATTTATATCACATGTTTTAAATTCGTACGAGCACAGCATTGCATTACACTTCGACGCGTTCTTGCCATTTGGGGACCCCCTCATGTTTGTTTACGCATGTGTGAGTATGCTCGCTCATCATAACAAAAGAGAGAAGAGATCATTTGACATAACCTAAAAGTGGAAATGAATTCGAAGGCGTAAATTTAAATAGTGTTGCTAACCGCACAATGGATATCAATTCCGTTTGTTGTTTATCAATAATAAATGAACAATGATAAAATTGCAATCATGAATCTGTTCCATCGCTCCACACGCACAACGGAATTTTCACCCTGATCTTGGGCGTGCGTATTTAATGTAAATGCCGCCAATAATCCTTCATTCTCTGCTTTTTCCCCTCTCCATGCCTTTGGCCTCATGAACTTTTGAATGGGTTGAACATTCTTCAATATGCCGATAAACGAAACATTGGCTCAAGCGGCATAACATTGGATACTTTGCTTTACTATTTTTCCCTCTCTCTCTCTCTTTCGCTCCGTATTTCAAGGGTTTAAAAAAACAAATCGTTCATCCTATTCGGAAGAGAATCGAATTAGGCTTGAAGCAAATCATATTTTTTGCACATAACATTTTGATTGCTTCTTAGTTATGAGCGTTACCTAATCCATTGTTCCCATTCATTCTGCTTTGCAGACAAAGATGAACTGCTGGCAGCGAAAAACTTCCTGGAGCAGGCCGCAGCATCCAACCTGCCCGGCTTCATCCGAGCCCTGTCCGATGTGCTGGTCTTTGCCGGTAATTCTCCGGTGGCCCGCATGGCCGCCGGTTTGCAGCTAAAAAACCAGCTCACCAGCAAAGATGCAACCATCAAGTATCAGTACCAGGAACGGTGGCTCTCGTTCCCGGAGGATATGCGGGAATATGTTAAAAAGAACGTGAGTAGTGGTTATTATTGCTAGCGACCGTTGGCGGTTTTTAATTTTTGGTATTTTATGTTTATTCTAGATTGTTGCAACTCTTGGAACGGAAAGCACCCGCCCTTCATCTGCAGCACAGTGCGTCGCTTATGTGGCCGTTGCTGAATTGCCCGTAGGACAGTGGCCCGATCTGATACAGAAGCTGGTGGACAATGTAGTCAATGAAAAGTCCACTGAAATGCAACGGGAGGCCACGCTGGAAGCTATCGGCTACATCTGCCAGGACATCAATTCGGAAATCCTGGAACATCAATCCAACCAGATCTTGACGGCAATCATTCATGGTATGCGCAAGTCGGAACCGTCCAACAATGTCAGGTTGGCTGCCACCAATGCATTGCTCAACTCGCTGGAGTTCACCAAGGCTAACTTCGAGGAAGCAACCGAACGAAATTATATCATGGAAGTAGTCTGCGAAGCGACTCAATCCGGCGAAACGCAAATCTGTGTGGCCGCTCTTCAGTGTTTGGTGAAGATTCTTACCCTCTACTATCAGCACATGGAAGCTTACATGGCTCAAGCTCTGTTCCCAATCACCCTTGAAGCGATGAAATCCGACAACGAACACGTTGCTCTCCAGGGTATTGAGTTCTGGTCTAACGTAAGCGATGAGGAGATTGACTTGGCCATTGAAGCACAGGAAGCGCAGGAAGCTGGGCGTCCTCCGAATCGAGTGTCGCGTCACTATGCCCGTGGAGCTCTGCAGTTTCTTGCTCCGGTTCTGATGGAGAAACTTACCCGCCAGGAAGAATTCGACGACGAGGATGATTGGAACCCGTCCAAGTCGGCTGGCGTGTGCTTAATGCTGTTGGCCACCTGCTGCGAGGATGAAATTGTACCGTTTGTCTTGCCATTCGTCAACAACAACATCAAGTCCACCAATTGGCGCTACCGGGACGCAGCCCTGATGGTATTTGGTTCGATTCTCAGTGGATTGGAAGCGACTACCCTGAAGCCGCTGGTGGAACAGGCCATGCCCACGTTAATCGAGCTGATGTACGACCAGAGCGTAATTGTGAGAGATACCTGTGCGTGGACTTTTGGCAGAATATGCGAGGTAATTTTTGGCTAGATTGGTTGGTTGTATCGAACGATCTCTCTCAATAACCGGTGTTCTCTCATTCCATTACAGGTCATTCCGGAAGCGGCCATCAACGAGCAGTATTTGGAACTCCTGTTGAAGGCTCTGCTCAATGGTCTGAAGGCCGAACCTCGCGTTGCAACAAATGTTTGCTGGGCATTCACAGGGCTCTCGGAAGCAGCTTACGATGCAGCCAACGTTGACGATGATCCCCCACAGACCTACTGCCTGTCGAAGTACTTTGATTTCATCATTAGCAACCTGCTGGAAACGACCGATCGCCATGACGGTGGACAGGCCAATCTGCGTTCGTCGGCATACGAAGCACTGATGGAAATGATCAAAAATTCCCCGCAGGATTGCTACGTTTCGGTACAGAAGACTACCATGGTCATCCTGGAACGGTTAAATCAAGTCCTGCAAATGGAATCGCACATTTCCACTCACTCCGACCGGCATCAGTTCAACGATCTGCAGTCGCTGTTGTGTGCCACGCTGCAATCAGTGTTGCGAAAGGTTGACGCCAAGGATGCTCCCCAGATCTCGGACGCAATCATGACCGCGCTTTTGACCATGTTCAGTTCAAGTTCCGGAAAGGTTGGTGGTGTGCAGGAAGATGCTCTGATGGCAGTTTCCACGTTAGTCGATTTGCTCGGCGAAGGATTCATCAAGTATATGGATGCCTTCAAGGAGTATTTGTACATGGGTCTGAAAAATCATCAGGAGTACCAGGTTTGCTGTACAGCAGTCGGACTTGCCGGAGACATTTGTCGAGGACTGAAAAACAAAATCCTTCCATTCTGTGACGAAATCATGACATTACTTCTGGAAAATCTAAGTAATCCGTCGATCCATAGGAGCGTGAAACCGCAGATCTTATCCGTATTCGGTGATATGGCGCTGAGCATTGGTGCAGACTTCAAAAAGTATCTCAGCATTGTCCTGCAGATGTTGACGCATGCCACCCAGGTTCAAGTTGACCCGAATGATTACGACATGATCGACTATCTGAATGAACTGCGCGAGAGCGTACTGGAAGCCTACACCGGAATCGTGCAGGGTTTGAAAGGAGTCGACAAGGCGCCTAACGATGATGTCAACCTGCTTCAGCCGCACGTTCCATTCATCATCAACTACATCGTTTCGATTGCCAAGGACAGCGAATTGTCGGACGGAAATATTGCCATCGCGTCGGGACTGATTGGTGACATGTGTTCCGCGTTCGGTCCTCCCCTGTTGCAGCTTGTCGGAGATCCTCACATCCAGCAGCTACTGGGAGAGGGCAAGAATAGCCGAACATCACGAACCAAAACGCTCGCCAACTGGGCGCTGAAGGAAATCAAAAAACTTAAGCAACCGGCGAACGACGCGAGTTGGTAAGTAGCGCCCACCGGGGAAGGGACTTCGCGCCGGACTGCCAGTTTATACGGGGTGATGGATATTATCTAATTCTTTCGAGTCCCCCTTCTTTCCCTTCGTCTCTGATTTCTGTAATGACACTTTATTTCAAACACTTTTCTCTTTTTTCTTTCTTTCCATTCTGTAACCCGAATGCATTTCGGGGGCACGTTAGGCGACTTAAATGAACTGGTAGTAGAGAATTGTAACTTTATAGGTGTGCTTGAGGATAATAGTGTGTGAACGGGCGCGCGCGAGAGAGAGATAGAGAGATTGTTATGCAAGGAGAAAGCAAAACGAATCATGAATCAAAAGTTGGACCAGGAAATTGTGAGAATCCGCTCTTGAGTGATCGTTGATTGAAAGGTAATGAAGATAGTAAGCTGGGCAGAGATTTTACTTTTGTTTGCTTTTGTCTTTCCTAACAATATTGGCTTTTTGTTTGCGTGTTGACTAGTGTTTGGTTCGTCTGTTGTTGTTTTTTTTATTACTGTGCTATCAGTCTGTTAGTTTTTATATTTGTCATTGCTGTTTCTCAGATGGACTATTCGTTTTCTTCATATCGCTTTTACCATACCTTTGTTTTGCTTTGTCTTAACAACATAACCATATGTGGTAGGGTAGTGCCACATTGTGTATTAAAGCTAAAGCACAGAATCAAAGTTTTGCTATATACGACCTTTTCGTTGAAAACGGATTGTTACGTCCAGGGCGTGAATACGGCCCTACGTTGTGGTTTCTAGGTTTGTAAAGTACCTCCGGCGGTGTGACGACAGCGGACGAAGACTTTTGCTGGATCGGTAGGGGAAAATAATAGACTTAACTTACTGCAGTAGCCAGTATGCCTACTCGGAGATTCGATAGTTAACTCACAGGCAAATAGACATAACTCTTCATATGTTGATCGTTCACTCATTCAACGGTGGATTTAAATTATTGTTAGTTGATAGTGTAGCCCACTGAAGGCGCGCCTAGTCATCGGTAACCGCAAGTCAGTCCCTTCGGTATTTTTTATCAATTTTGAGTTAGCATCATTATTCAGTTTATCTTTTTACGTTTTTTAAGATGTGCTATTGAAAAAAGGTGGTTTGTTCAAGAAAAATAAATAAAAAAAAAACAACACCATGTCAAATTGTCCCACAGCGAAAAGTAACTGCAAGTCAGCCCTATTAGGAAAAATATGATTTCATTAAATCTCTATGCTGCCGTTATACGCATAAGAGTCCCACGGTGCATAAGGATTGCAACATGGGACAGTTGTGCGTATAACGGCAGTATAAATATATCTATATATATAAAAATGAATTTCTGTTTGTCTGACCCTTATAGACTCGGAAACTACTGAACCGATCGGCGTGAAAATTTGTATGCAGGGGTTTTTTGGGCCGGGAAAGGTTCTTATGATGTTCGAGACCCCTCCCCCTCTGTAAGGGGGGGGGGGGTTCCAACCAAATACATCAGCGTATAAACTCAAGCTAATATTGAATCTAGTAAGGGGCTGTTAATTAACTACGTAGACAGTTTTTTTTGGGACTCTCCCCCCCCCCCCTAAACTGTCTACGTAGTTTATGAACAGCCCCTAAACTATAAAACAACGTGTTAGCTATGTTTTCTGCTTGCTTCTATTGAATTAAGAATGTTAGACTACATATCGCTTCATGAGATTTGATTCAAGACAGATTCTGTCCACTTCCACTAGGGTATCCGGAGCATGGTTTCATGGCAGGGCGGTCAACTACTTCCAACCTTCTGTGTCTCACCTCGTACATTACGGAGAGTATGACAGACCATAGGCGTAGCCAGATAGGGGCAGGGGGGGGGGGGGCGACTGCCCCCCTCTAAACTCGGCAACACAAAGGCTTTCGAGGAAATGGTGTTCGGTGAAATGGCATTCGGCCAAATTTTCCATGGTAATTTTTTTTTCGCCCCTCCCTAGCTCGAAACCTGGCTACGCCCTTGTGACAGACCATATGCAAACAGCCGTCTTCGACAAGTTGAACCATCCTATAGCGATCGCCAAACTGGATAGGCTCGGTATAAACGGCAATCTCCTATGATGGTTCGCATCCCATCTATCAGATCGTCAGTTGGAAGTTGCAATCGACGTCTGTCGATCTCCTTCGTTCCCTGCCACTTCGGGTACTCCGCAAGGTTGCCACCTTGGCTCGTTGATATTTCTTGTGTATTTCAACGACGTCAATTTCGTCCTTGACGGTCCACGACTGTCGTTCGCAGACGACATGAAAATCTATCTCCGAATCTGAGCCATCGCTGACTGCCACCTTCTCCAACTTCAATATAACAGCGAGCATATCTCGTACGTGATCGACAAGGCATCTAGAACGCTCGGCTTCATTTTCAGGATAGCTAAAAGTTTCACTGACATCTACTGTTCTAAGTCGCTTTACTGCTCCCTCGTCCGGTCGGTGTTAGAATACTGCTGGCCTAAATGGAATCGCAATAACCAAAACAGTGTACAAAGAGTAGAGTCCACTCCAAAAAATATGCACGTCCGATCTACGTGAAAACATAGGTAGCTTTCGTCCAACTACTTTTCACGTAACATTTACGTTAATGTCATTTAGCCAAAAATATTCCCATTTAGTGGTCAACATGAACAGTAGGTGAATTTTACGTGATTTCCACTTAACTTGGAATAGATTTTCGCGCAATGTTTACGTGATTTTTAAATGATATTTACTGACATTTTTTGTTTATATTACGTTTACGTTCTGTGATTTTTACTAATATTGAAATGAATTTTCACGGAATGCTTACGTGATCTTGATGTTTACAGGATCTAAAAATACGAATAAAATAATATTTAAACATTTTTAGATTTTTTTAATTAAACGCCAAGCATTTCTCTATTGCCATTAAAAAATTAACACTGAACATTTCGTTGCCTCAAAAATTTGATCAGGACCATTCTGATGCAATATCTGTTTGCGCTGTCTTATTCAGAGTTATGATATTGATTCCAGCCTCTGAAATCTAAATAAATACAATTATTTGCGCGGTCTTGCAATGATGTAAAATAGTATAAAAACACCTTCTAGTTTATGCAGCGTTAGTGTTAGGAAGTCCAAAACTGAGAGCAACTCTTCCTCTAATGAAGTCGACGCCATATTGAATAACTTTCTCATACAAGTAAATCACGTAAACCCATTTCACGTAAGCACTTTCATCATCAGCTCCAGTGAACATTACATGGTATGTTTGTTAATTTCACTACCATCATGTAAAAATGAAAGTTTAAGTAATCGACATGGCTACTTGATTTTTCACGTAGGTTGAACGTGTATACTTTGTAGAGTGTACATGCTTATCACATTCTTTTTACGTGAAATTCCCGTAGTATCAACCGACATGAAAATCACGTACATTTTATCAAAATTCCATTTGACATTGATCTGCGGCACGTGAAAATGATTGAAGTGGGGTTAGGGGTTACGTGATTTTTCACGTAGCATCAACGTGAAGATTTTTTGGAGTGTCTATTCAACGACGATTCATCTGGTTTGCCCTTCGACGATTGTCTTGGAGGGATCGTCATGGCCTTCCAAGCTACGAAAGTCGGTGCCAGTTAATCAGAGGCGTCGCGTGCCTCATTTGTTTACCTGTGCACGAAACTTTGTTCGTTATAGTTTACCACCACATATTAGTTTTTGTTTTGTTTTTCAATGCTCCATGAATTCGAAGGACATATTCTCAATTGCTATATTAATCACTACCTAACGTAACGTTTAAAGGGCCTATCATATTGTGTAAACAAAACTTGCATGGCCCTTTTTGCGCTAACCGAAGTAGGAGGAATTGCAAAATTTAACAACATTATCAGAATGAACCAGGGGAAGCTCATAAGTTTGGACAGGCGCACCGGCGCACCCATTGGTAATTGAGAGATTTACAACTGACAAGAGACTGCAAGTATGATACACGTCCAAAGCGTACCAGACTGCTGTTTCCGTGTTGCTCCCGTGGTGCACACCGCCATGTATTGTGAAAAATGTGTGGTATGTTTCAAGAGGTTATAGAAGGTCTGCTTGACTTACATCAGGCATTGACCATTCACGAACTTGCCACCCGCCACCCAAAAAAGCTCGCTTTTAGGTCCACTATCGAGTTTTGTCTAGGTAGTGATTAGGCAGACCATCCGAACTGAATTTAATCCTTTTTGAAGCAAACCAAGGTCATAGCAAACTTGTGGTCTCGGTCTGGAATAAAGAAGTAGGGGAACTAGGGGCAAGAAGGTCACCCTAACGATAGCGCGTTTTAATATGCGATTCCGTGAATATTTATAGGAGTTCGTGAACCGAATTGTAAGTTAATAACCTTGTCTCCATGTATCATCATTGAAATTAAAATTAAACCCCATCAAAAAATGTTAATGATTTTTTTCAAAATGTCATGTCGTACCTGCTCTAAAAAATGCTACGGGGCAAGAGGGCCACTCTTATGGGGCAAAAAGACCATATGTCTAAAATGAAGTGAAACTGATAAATGTTCATTTCTAAACAACAAATTACTATTCTTAGGTATGACAGCAACTGCTTTTATTGTTTATTCCACTAAAATATTGATTTAACGATATTTGTTTTTATCCAAAACATATAAACCATGTGCGTCAATGAATTCAAATGGAAACTATTTTATACAGTTTGTTTTCCAAAATTTCACGAAGACAATGTAGGGGAATTTACGTATTCTCGTCAATCTAAGCAGCGTCTGCACTTCTACTAGCATTTTCTCAGCGTCACGCACATATATGATGTGTCTGTTTGTTTACATTCATCTGCTGCTTGCTTCTCTATCCATTCCAATCGACAGAATTTTTCAAAACGTTTTGAAAGCGTTTTTACAACGCTCCAAACTTCTCAGGTGAGTGTGACTATTGTCGGCAGTCTCTTTTTCTTCGACAACCTTCCCATTAGAACTGCGTGTTAACCAGCTGTTCTATTATCGGCAACTCGAAATCAACCTCATTTTGTAGTGCGTATGCTTTATTTGAAGAAAAATGTAGCATTACTGGATTGCTCGATCGTTCAAATATAATCAGATTGAAGCTGAAAGGCTAAACAATCGTTTGGACACATTCAGGTAAGTGCGTTGATGGGAAAACATAGTGAAATTAACGTTTAAATTTTGGTTGCCGAAAACAGTCAATGGGTGCCGAAGCCAACATTTACCCTATATTAGAAACATAAATGCCCAATTGTGCTAATTTCTGAACAGTTTTGTACAATTTAATACATAAATGTAGGGGTGGCACTCTTGCCTCGTATAAAGTTTATTTTTAGGAATATAATTTTTGATTAATTAAAGAAAATATTTAATAATTGATTGTTACTGATGTTTCAATCAAC